CATGTGCTATGTAATAGGTGCTTGTTGGTTATCTGTTTTAAATATAGTAGTGTGTACATGACCATTCCAAACTCCCTAACTATCCCTTCCCCCTGGCAACCATAAGTTCATTTTCTAAGTCCGTGAATCTCTTTCTGTTTTGTAAATTAGTTTGTTTGTATCATTTCTTTTTATTTTTTAATTTTTTCATCATTTATCTTTATTAGTTGGAGGCTAATTACTTTACAATATTGTAGTGGTTTTTGTCATACATTGACATGAATCAGCCATGGATTTATATGTATTCCCTATCCCAATCCCCCCTACACCTCCCTTTCTACCCGATCCCTCTGGGTCTTCCCAGTGCACCAGGCCCAAGCACTTGTCTCATGCATCCAACCTGGGCTGGTGATCTGTTTCACCCTAAATAATATACATGTTTCGATGCTGTTCTCTCGAAACATCCCACCCTTGCCTTCTCCCACAGAGTCCAAAAGTCTGTTCTGTACATCTGTGTCTCTTTTTCTGTTTTGCATATAGGGTTATCATTACCATCTTTCTAAATTCCATATATATGTGTTAGTATACTGTAATGGTCTTTATCTTTCTGTCTTACTTCACTGTGTATAATGGGCTCCAGTTTCATCCATCTCATTAGAACTGATTCAAATGAATTCTTTTTAACAGCTGAGTAATATTCCATGGTGTATATGTACCACGGCTTCCTTATCCATTCGTCTGCTGATGGGCATCTAGGTTGCTTCCATGTCCTGGCTATTATAAACAGTGCTGCAATGAACATTGGGGTGCATGTGTCTCTTTCAGATCTGGTTTCCTCGGTGTGTATGCCCAGAAGTGGGATTGCTGGGTCATAGAGGAAGTTTCCAAACACCAGGAAACTCTCGCACTGGCGGGTCTGGGGGAAGTTTTCGAATCTCATTTCTTTTTAGATTCTACATATAAGGGATGTCATATGATATTTCTCCGTTTCTGTCTGACTTACATCACTCAGTATGACACTCAGTTCATCCATGTTGCTGCAAATGGCCTTATTTCATTCTTTTTGATGGCTGAGTAATATTCCATTGTATATATGTGCCACATCTTTATCCATCCCTCTGTATTGACTTGGTTTATAAAGGTGAGTGGGGTGACATCAGCTCTCCTGGAATCCTTCCATTTTCCTAGGTTAGGAGAGAGATTCATTAATCATGAAGTTAGAAGAAAGAGGCAAGTTGAAGCTGATATCAAAGTTGGAGAAAGAGAAGCAGAAGAACAGAACTTGAAAAGCATAATTATTCTGTAGCCATTAATTTTAGGAGGATACAGACCTATATATTTGATAGCCCTTGGGGACATTACTGTATTATAGATGCCCAAAATTGTTTGTTGAATTTGAATTTAATAAAATAATGCTCATGAACCTCTGAAACATGAAGAAAAGTTTTAGTTATATTCACAGTACTCTGTTTAGGAATCTGGAAAGCTATATTATCATTTTAGAAAGACTTTAATTAGTAGTAACTAAAATGAAAAATTTATGAAGGATAAACTTTTAGAAGAGTCACAGAGGATAGTTTATTATCAAAAGTAGGATAATTGGCATTGTTTTACCATAACAATGCTGAGCATATGGTAAAAATTGAATAAATGCTTTTTTTGGGGGGGAATGAAACCTGAGATTGAACTAGAATAATGCTTTTAAAATAGAAATCAGATTATGCAGGGCAGATTGGACTCTGAACTTAACTCATGGAATATGGAAGATTCTCTTGAAATCTCTCAGAAATGTAGTTAATTACCTGACTGTTGAAGGACACTGACAATATATTCCCTACCTACTTTTCTACAAATTGTTGACAATCACAATAAATCTAATTTAGTTACTGATCCAACTGAGCAAGTAATTGACCTGAATGCCCTCAATAGAACTTTGAGATAAAATCACTCTCTATAAGTTGATTAAAAGGTTGATACTTTTTTTTTTTCAACCTAGAATAATGATAATTATCTTTCCAGCTTATCTCTTATTTTAGGTTCTCAAGATTTAAAAACTACCAGTCAGTGGTAAATACAGTAAAGAATCTGCAGTCAACCCATACTCTTCTGTATAATTAATAGGATTGCTCAGGCAGCTTATCTGCTTAAATTCTGAAAATCTCTTTATCCTTTATCTGCAGAAACACTAATCGCTTGAAAAGGACAAGACTGAGGAAAACTTGTTTTAAAGCTGGGTTTAAACAATTTTTTTTTTTTTTCCTGCAGCAAATTCTGTTGCTCTAATTCCCTGGGTTACTTGCATCTCTTCTTCATACTTTCACTACCCTTCTAGGTATTTTGAACAGCATGTTGCATTCATTTGAGCATATGTGAGTTGCTTACGTTTTCTGGTGAGATAAGCATTCTTAAAGTGAAAGTGTAGTTGCTCAGTTGTGTCCACCTCTTTGCGCCCCTATGGACTGTTGCCTGCCAGGCTCCTCTGTCTATGGAATTCTCCAGGCAGGAATCCTGAAGTGGGTTGTCATTAGCTTCTCCAGGGGATCTTCCCACCCCAGGGATTGAACCTGGGTTTCACGCATTGCAGGCAGATTCTTTACCATCTGAGCCACCAGGGGAGCCCAAGCATTTCTTAAGGTCTCTTCTATTCAGCCTTTGGCTGGATTTCACGAGGCCCAGGGAACAGGGTTCGGGAACTGGGAAACCTCGGCTCTGAGTTTCACTCTGTGATCTGGTGAGGGTCCTTTGTTTGCCAGTCACAGGTGTGATCAGCAGCTTGTAGCTTCCATTTCTTGGAAGGATAGCTAAGATATGCAGCATCAGCAGATGACTGAAAATCACGTTTGAACTCCAGCAGGTGTCATGGCTTTTCCAGAGGCTGGGAAGCAGGAACCCCAGCAACAGTCTTGTGGTGGGGACAGAGTAGTAAGAATGCTACTGCAAGGATGAAATGAATATCAGATTCCAGGGAGGTTGGTTTAGATTGGATGACAAGCCTGCTCTTACTTGATACCTGTTGGGAACCCCAGTTACAGTCCGCTGGGCTCCACCTAGTAATTCCTTAAGAGGAAATTCAGGAGGCAGTTTGAGGAAGAAATTTCGTGCTGGGCAGGTAACTTTGTCCACTCTACTATCTGGCATCTTTAAAGTTGCTTCCAGCTTTAAAAATGGAGAGTGATTCTCCCATGAAACCCTTTGGGGCTTCTGTGTCCCAGTTATGTTTGTTTCCATGAATGCCTATAAAACCAGTGAACAATAATATGATGAACGGGAAAAAGACATTTATGAAGACCAGTGGGTTATGTAGCTGTGTTGGTTATCTACTTCTGCATGACAATATCACTGCAAACTTAGTGTCTTCAAACTGTGAATTTATTATCTCTTAATTTCTGTGGGTCAGGAGTCTGCGAATGGCTTAGATGGGTTTTCTTATAAGGCTGTAGTCAAGGTGTCATGGCTGAATATTCATTGGAAGGAATGAAAGAGTTGGACATGACTTAGCGACTGAACAACAATGCATATGTATAACTGATACACTTTGCTATACACCTGAAACTAACACAACATTGGAGGTCAGCTATACTCCAATAAAAATTTTAAAAAATGAAAGAAAATCTGCCCTCTTAGCTGTACTTGGTTGTTCAAACAAAATGTATTTGAAAGGGGTGAGTTTATAAACATTCAGATTACCCTGAAATGATGTGCCTGGTTCTCCTAGAGCTGCTGGGCACACATCTGGAGGCGATGGGTAATAAATGGATAAAGACATGGGTTAAGTCCTTGCCTAAACTCGCAGTGTGACCCTGGACTTGCTGCTTGAATCTCTGGTAGCCTCAGTGACCTTGTCATACTAGCTTGTAGAGGTAATGCCTTTAGAATGTGTAGGGTGATGCCTGGCACTTAGAAAACATGCAGGAAATAGATATTATGATGATCCTTTAAGAACCCCAACCAGAGAAGGCACGTGTCAATTCTTCAGGTACAATTTATCACATAACCAGAGGATTAAGAAAATGCATGCTGAACACACTGTAGTTCATTCCTTCTCTTGAAGCTCATGGAGGGTTTGATGCGGGAATTCCTTGTGTATAGGATTCGAAATCAGAATCCTATTTGCCCATCCCTGGAGCTGGGCCATTTGGAAGGAGGACTGTAGCTGCAGCCCCTCTTCTGTTGACCCTGGGCGGCCGGGGGTGGATGCTGGCCATGCCAGGGTAGGGCAGGGAGCACCCCAGCTCCCACCTCTCATTTCCAACCTCCCAGGGTGTGGTGGAAAGCACACAGGACTAAGCTGGTTGTCCTTGGCCAAGCCATTCTCACTTCTGTAAAAGTGGAGCCATATGCAGGATCAAAAGAGGGGAAGAACACAGGTGATGAGCTTGGCATATCTAAGGGGAACCAGGATGCATGCTCCATACCAAGACTTTCTTCCAACAGGCCCAATGAAGATGTTAAATACATTTTAGAAAAGTTTTAATTTGAAAAACTTATGATTAAAAATACATTTTATAAATAATTTTTCCATAGACTTGATTAAGGATTGTTGCGAACTTTACAAAAAGACATACTGCAGCAACAGTGGAAAGAAATTACAAAAAAATATAGCTACAGTCCTCCCATTTAAAAATAATTATACATCACAGCGTTTTCTTTGTGCAAAGTTGAAGAGAGCGCTGTGTTAGGCCTGTCACAGGTTCACCCAAAGGGAAGTAACACAGTTACTTGGCATAATAGGATATGCACAGCTGAAAAAAACGAACCCCTTCTCCCAGAAGTTAATATACCTTAGTTCAACATTTTATTTTGTAGGACAGATGGCTGAACTTAGCTTAATACAAATATATATTTATATGTCTGTGTGGATATATATATATTTAAGTATGAAAATAAGTGTCGGTTTTGCAATTAAGTAAACCCTCAACGTATTTACAGTATTTTCAGAGAACGTGTTCTCCAAATCAGTCTGAGGCCATCTTCTCTGTTAAACAACTCTTCAGAAGATTAAACAAAGCCAAATATGTCAATTAATGGACATCCTCCGTTGAGACTTCCAGTTTTCGCTGTGGGATGAAGAGAGTTCCTACAGAGGTGTGATTAGCACCATCAAAATCCATGCAGGTGGAGCCTGCTGGCTTTGTTGGTCCACCTGGAGTACGGAAGAAGCTTTCGGCCACTGGCTGGGGCCCTTTGGGTGTCACAGGAACAGGCTGATTGGAAAGAAGAATGGGGAAAAGTCAGACCCAGAGAGACAGGTACATGTCCTGGCAAACTCAGCAAAGTGGACTGGAAGGATGCGTCACATGATGGGAACCTCGAATGCTCCGAAATCTGCTAAGTGAGTCTGCCTGAGTTTCACACTCTCAACTATTTTTGTTAAGGGGGAAAAAAGCTCATGATAACCCCATAATCTGGACTCCTTGAGCACTCTTGCTGGATTTACAAGGAAGGCAGGCCTTTAAGCATTTCCTTCTCCCATCCTTTCCTTGTCCGAAAGCAAAAGTGAGTCTCCCATGATACTGATATTTGGGACCTAAGAACTGAAAGAGAAAAAATCATCAATGAATGGACACACTCTCACCTGTTGTGCCCCTGTCCCTACAGCTGATTGTCCGTTTGTTTGGCTCTGGCTCAGGATGGATGCGTCATACTTGGTGGCCCTTCCTTGCTGAGCGCCTGCATGTTCGGGTGTGACACTAACAGCCTCTATTTTTGGCGACACGGCAGCAGTTCCGGGTGCGGGGCTGGCAGACACCTGCACCCCGGGGGAGATGAGGCCCAAGTGCTGCAGGGTGAAGTTTACAATGGCTGAACTTGGGTTCTGAATGGGAACTGGGTGGCTCGAAGAGAGAGCCGGGCTGTTCCCAACAGGGACGGCTGCCATGGAAGTTGGTGAGACCATTAGCTTCAAAGGTGTTACATGAAAAGAGGGAAAATTAACAGCAGTGAGTTCAGATGATGTCACTGGAATAACACCTGGAAAGAAAAGGCAGGAGAATATCTTAAAAGCACAGGCATTTGTCCAAGCAGTATATAAGGCTCAAGTGAGCTTGAGAATGACTGTGTTTGAAAGATGTTTTTAAGTACACTCACCTGCAATCGGGGAGCTGTAGATCCTGTGATTTGGGGAAAGTGTACCTGAGTTTTCATTACTAGACAGAATGGACTCTGCCCCCAGGGCTGAGCACTGGGTGAGAGGGATTAGGTATCCTGATGGGAACAAGGTCTAGAAAACAAAGAGGAAGGGTTTATTTTACACATGAATACAGAAGGAAACAATGGAAAAAGTGACAGACTTTATTTTTTTGGGCTTCATAATCACTGTAGATGGTGACTGCAGCCATGAAATTAAAAGACGCTTGCCCCTTGGAAGAAAAGCTATGACAAACCTAGACAGCATATTAAAAAGCAGAGACATCACTTTGCAGACAAAGGTCTGCCTAGTCAAAGTTATGGTTTTCCCAGTAGTCATGTATAGATGTGAGAGCTGGACCATAAAGAAGGCTGAGCACCAAAGAATTGATGCTTTTGAACTTTTAGTATTGGGGCAGACTCTTGAGAGTCCCTTGAGCAGTCTTCCTGGGTTTGCAAGGAAGGCAGGCCTTTAATCACTTCACTCTCCCATCCTTTCCTTCTCCCAAAGAGGGCACTCAGCCTTCTTTGTGGTGAGACAAACAAGTCAATCTTGAACGAAATCAATCCTGAATATTCATTAGAAGGACTGATGCTGAAGCTGAAGCTCCGATACTTTGGCCACCTGATGCAAAGAACAGACTCATTAGAAAAGACCCTGATACTAGGAAAGGTTGAAGGCAGGAGGAGAAGGGGACAACAGAGGACGAGATGGTTGGATGGCATCACCAACTCGATGGACATGAGTTTGAGCAAGCTCTGGGAGATGGTGAAGGATAGAGAATCCTGGCGTGCTGCCAGTCCATGGGGTTGCAAAGAGTCGGACACAAGTAAGCGACTGAACAAAAACAACAGGAAGAAAAATGACCACGTGCCTCTTCTGGGACTAATATCCCTTGGTGGTGGTTTGTCTCATCAGACCAAAGCCTCCAGTGGTATGGGCCACGGCAGGCCAGCTCTATGGCTCTTTGAAGACAGTATCCCTCCTTCCCATCCCAATAGTTGTCCTGAGTAACCACATGTTTCTTAAATGCCATCTGGGGTCTTAGGAAGTGTCCTAAAGTTAGCACTGAGTCTGCTTAAGGGCAAGATTTACCTAGCACTCCCCACCACCCTCAACATCCTAAGTCTGTTTCCAGAATTCTTGGTATGATGTGGTGCTGTCAGAACAAGCTGAATGCAGCCGGATACCGTAGTGGCACTGCTGTGTTATTATGTGATTGTCCTTGAATTATGTGGGATGGTATTTCCCAGAGACTCTTCTGAGGGACTCTAGTTCTTTCTATGGGATGCAAGCAGGTACTACTTGAATCATAGTTAAATTATGTTTGGAGAAATGCTGAATTCAACAAAGGAAAATGGAATCTTTATGACATAATTTCTAAGGGACTTTCATGATGGCATACAATGTGAATCTCCAAGAGAGTGTTCATCATGTAACATTTCCAAGGCTATTCAGCAACTAAATGTTTGGTAATATTGGTATTTAAGGAAAAAAATCTTTTAAGAAATGTTGATTTAGAGAAAGGGAATGTCAAGCCACAGGCCCAAATATAGCCTCTTGGCTGTTTTTGCAAATAAAATTGTACTGGAATATAGCCATGCCCATTCATTTTCATATTGTCTGCAGATGCATTCCTACTTTTAAAAAATTTTTTACAATGGCAGAGTTGAATAGGTGTAACAGAAACCATATGGCCCACAGAGCCAAAAGCATTTACTCTCTGGCCCTTTACAGAAAGCTTCCCTTGTGGCTCAGTTGGTAGAGAATCCACCTGAAATACAAGAGACTGCCTGCAATGCAGGAGATGTGGGTTCAATCAATGGGTCAGGAAGATCACCTGGAGATGGAAATGGCAACCTACTGCAGTATTCTTGTCTGGAGAATTCCATGGACAGAGGAGCCTGGCAGACTACAGTCCATGGGGTTGCAAAGAGTCGGACATGATTTAGTGACTAAACCACACAATCTGTACAGAAAAGTTTGCTGACTTCTGATTTGGAATAAAGGAATTATACAACTATAGATTTTTTTTTCCCCCTAGTACTTTAGGTTCCAATGATACCAAGCAAACACTTTTATAATATACAAATGAAAGGGCAGGATACCAGGTTTCAAAAATGACAGATGAGAGGACTGATTAATTCATATTAGATGTCCAAATATCATGCAGAAAAAGCTTTCGGGAATAAAGTTACATTCCACACAGAAATGGCCAGAGTGTTGGGCTGTGTGTGTCTGCAGCACGCCTGCTCATCACGGTACTTTTCCAACAGAGCCTACATGGGTGGCGGAGCTGCCTGCAAAGTCTGATCGGTCTTAGCAGGAACAGGACTGGTAAAAGCGAAAAGCAGCTCTTGTAAACCAGAGGCCCACCTATCATCTCCCTGCAGCTCTTTCTTCTCACTGCTGTCAAAACAACGGTATATGCTTTGATCTAGCTGTTAATAGGTGCGGTCAGAATCCCCAGTGCTAAGGGGTACCACAAACTTTCAATTTTGTTTCTTAGATGCTTGGTTCTGTTCAATATCTTTACTAGCAGGTTCCTTGAAGGCTGAAGGAATAGAGAATTTTCAAGGGGTAGATTTAGATGTTTTACCAACAGCTGCTCTTTGGCATCTTATAGTACAATGTTTTGTGGTTTAACTCTCTTCAAATCTCCAGCAAAACTCTAATAATAATTACTTTTCCTTTTCCTATAAACTATATTCATCACAAAATTGTTTCATCTATAATGCCAATTCCTTTTTTAAAATTAGAACTATTAAAGTAGCAGGATGAAAATAATTTGACATATTGCCACTTGTACGTCTTCTCACCCAGGCTATATGAACACTCCTACCCCTCTTCCTAGGACACTATCCTCTTTTGTTTTCACCATATTTCTTATTATTCACTACCTGATATGCTTGTGTTTGTTTGTACACTCTCTTCTCTCCACCCCTAGAAGTGTAGATTCTCAGTAAATGTTTGTTGAAAGAATTAACACGTGAATCTCTCCCTTACTTTGTTCTGCTCAGTCCATGCTAAAAAGAAATGGTCAAAATGAAGTCAGAGATGAAAAAAAGAGAAGTGGGTGTGAGGAATCTATCCAGTGAAAACCCTAATCCTGAATAACTAAGTGAGCAACAGGAGACCATTATTAAATCATACCCATTGCCCCAAAGAGATTATGGACCTCCCAGAAAATCAAATCAAGCTGAAGCCTTGTGATTTTCCCCCTAGCATGTGTATTAAATGCAAAATGATACTATGCTAAGATAATGGATGTTTTGAATGGTTACACGGGGCCATCCTCAGGGAAGATCTGACAGACTCTAAAGCCTCCTTAACAACAGTTACAGATAATACCCTTCAGCTTCTATAGTGCCTTGAAAGGATCACAAACCCTTTTATGTATATCATCATGTCATAAATTCACTTAACCTCACAAAAACTGTAATATGGCCCTGGGGCAAGTTCTCAAAAGCAATCCCCAAAGGCAGGTGCTGATTTGATCCAGAGCACCAGTGCTTCATACCCAGTAGACAATCAGGAAAAACTGGCAGAACAAATTCTTTATAGATGTGGGAAAACAAGATGTAGAGAAGTAAAGTAACCTGAGTTAGCAGCAGGGATAAAATGAGAGATTAACTTCTGCTTCCATGTTTAGTGATGTTTGTTTATCTGGTGATGCTGTCTTTCATATACAATTGTTCCGAGAGTGGAAAATGAGATAACATATGCAAAAGTGCTTAACACTTCTGCCATCTAGCATGTGGGTAGGCAGCCAATACATGTTCTTTCCTTCCCGAATTAAACTCCATCCAGGAAAAAACTGTCTAGAACATCAAAACATCTAGATACCAATGCATCAAATACATCTAAACCTTGTCAAGCTAAGTCTGATTTTTTTTTTTGCACAACATGGAAATTTTGGTTTAAATTTGACGAAGAAAGTAAAAACAGGGGGGAGCCATTTCTCTGCTAGGCCACAGATGCCACTTAGATGACGTCAAACAAATATCAAGTAATGACTCAGAAAGCAGGAGTTAGAGGAACCCTATGCGTCCTTCCATTCATTTGGGGTCATGTCTGCTTGTAAATTATTTAAGACTTTCATGGCAGGTGTTTGCATTCCAGTGTGGGACAGAGAAATGGACTTAAGGACAACCACCCACGGTGCTTTAAAAAGAGAGCAGATAATCCCTTCCTCCAAAGGTTAAAAATGCCCCTGCCGCCATCCCAGTCAGGGGATTAGCTGTCTGAGGCCTTGTTTGGATTATGGGACGCTGAGGAACTGTTACCCTGTTTTCTGGGAGACTGCTCTTTGCTCTGGTAAATTTCACAAGCCAGCAGAGTCCCTCCTAATCAACTGGGGAGTACCTAAAGCTTTGCACAGTTCAAGGCTGTACTTACTGTGGAGACATTTTCAGGTGCTTTTGGGTCTTCTTTAAATTTCTTTTTGGAACCACTGTCCTCGAGCACGCTCGCCCTCTTTGAGCCTTTTTCTCCAGCTGGCTCCCTCTCTCGGTTCTTTGCACCTTGTCTCTCCAGCCCGGGCAGCAAACTTCCAGGCCTGGTGGATGCACTGGACTTTGGGGAGTCACTGTCTGCATTCTCACCGGTGGCATCAGCAGAGTCTTTTGACCTCATAGCGTTAGAAGAGGTGGTGGGGCAGACCGTGGGGCTCAGGCCTGGGGGTGGCGTTAGAGTTTGGGCCTGGGCAGGCTGCAAGTAGATGGCATACGATGGGCCTGATGGGGCCTGAGGTAGGATCACGGGCACTGCCGGTGACAATGGGCTGGGGAGGAGGGGGACCACCCCCAGGGGCTGGATGAGGGACGGTGCCGTCATCTCTAGCTCGGCATTTGCTGGAGTGTCCAGAGGGGCCACAGGTTTGCAGCCAGATCCTACCAGCTGTACCTTCACTTTCTTTCTGGGTTCACTAAAAGACGAGATTGAAAACATGAGACAATGGAAACACATGTTCTCTAAAACGTTCTACCATTTTAGATTGCCCCAGATTGAAGCTACGCTTTTATGAAACTAGCAGATAGTTTCTGTCATGATTCCATGTTATGAGTTAGAGATGATTCTCTCACCAGTTTCCAAGGTTATTGCCTACTCTTACATGAAGTAAGTAATCCTAATGATGCAGCGTAAAGTAATGCATCCTGTTACTGAAGAGCGTTGCCCACCTACCTTGATTGCTCTTCTAACTGCATTTTGCAGATAGCTGCGAGCTGAGCCATTTTACTTGGGAAAGGTGCGGAATTCTGAGAGCTCTCAGCTGGTAAAATAAAAAGAAGGTGGGGTAGGGAGTTGGTCAAAGCAAAAGAATGAATCTTCACACAAATGAAACATCACTGAGGTCAAAGGAACAGAAAAATTGCACTGCCCTCCTCCCCCAAATCACACAGTAATTAAATGATAAACCCCACAATTCACATTTTATCCTTTAATTCACATGTAAGTTGGGCTTCAAGTGTGTTTGAGACTATGGAAACAAACAATTCTCTAGCAAGTCCCGAGGGATCAAGGAAGTTAAAGTCAGATGGAGAGGGATTCTTTCAAGCAGAGATCTAACATGATAGCAAACATACCTTTGTGGGTTTTGATAGGGCTACTGGGAGCAGAATTTATCTTTCTCCGATCACTCTCTATGCTTTTTACCAGTTTGATGAGAGATGGGTGTCGAGTGAAGTTTGGTTTCCCACGTGTGGAAAAGAGGTTTTTGGCACAGTTCTCTTTTGAAGACCGCCTTGCTTCCAAATCAGAGGCAGTAAAAGGAAGGACTGGGCTGAGACCTGAAACAGGAAAGGGCAATGTGTTAAGACATGAGTGGTTCAGCCTCTTTCTGGGGTATGAGTTCAGTGAGTGTGCGCTTGCTCAGTTATGTCCAACTCTGTGCGACCCTATGGACTGTAGCCCGCCAGGTTCCTCTGTTCATAGGGATTCTCCAGGCAAGAATACTTGCCATTTCCTCCTCCAGGGGATCTTCCTGACTCAGGGATATAACTGGCATCTCCTGTGTCTCCTGCATTGGCAGATGGGTTCTTAACCACTGAGCCACCTGGGAATGGTTCTAAAATGATTTCAGATTAAAGTGGCAACAGTTATGTGCCTACTATGTGCCAGATACCATTTCAAGGGCTTTACCTAAAAAACCTTGTTCATCTTATTCTGAATGAATTCTGAGATAATAATTCACTTTAACATCTCTGAAAGACTTTGTCATCTTACAACCAGTGGTGTGCTCTCAGGGTGGCTGTTAGTGGTTTTTATTTCTTATTGAAATATAAAACATCGGGTATCTCAGAATCAGTGGAGACTTCATCTGATGAAATAGGGTGACCCTCCCTGCTATGGACTGAATGTTCGCATCCCCCGCCCCATCCCCTCTCCCCAAATTCACATGTTGAAACCTGATGTCCAATATGATGGTACTGGGAGGTGGGGCCTTTGGGAGATGTTCATGAGGGTGGAACCCTCTTGAATAGGATTAGTGCTCTTATAAAAGGGACTCCACAGAGCTCTCTAGTCTTCTTCCACTATGTGAGGTTACTATGAAAAGACTAGAAAAGTCTAGAAAGCAGGTCCTCACCAGACACCGAGTCTGCCAGCAACTTGATCTTGGACTTCCAAGCCTCCAGAACTATGAGAAGTAAATATATTGTTTACCAGCCACCGAGTCGATGGTACTCTGTTGTGGCAGCCTGAACAGACTAAGATACTGTCCACAACTCAGGCAGGCACTTCTCAGGAAATGCACTCTCATTTCAGAGACGTTTCAGACATTAACTAACTGGTTCGGGGTCTCTCAGCTAGAAGAACGTGGGCCTGGGATATGAACTTGATCAGTCTAGCCCAGAGCCTATCCTCCAAACCCCTGTGCTGAAGGACCTCTCATTGAGGTTATATCCAAAACCACAATAACCTCACAAAGGTGCATCGTTCTTTCTACTAGGGGTGAGGAAGCAGTCTTAGAGAAGTCACCTGCCCAAGGCCACACAGCTGGAATAAGTGACAGACTTGGGACTGGAACCTAAGCTTCCCCTCTGCTTCCATGGTCTGTGTTCTTGCCATTTTCCAGAACTTCTGTGTGTGGGGTCTTGGTAGAACACAAAAGGTAAGAATCCCAGAGCTGAGATGGAGACAGAATATTCATTCTGGAGTGAATCCATTTCATATTCTCCACATGCAGAGGCTCTGTTTCAACTTTGTCAGATGCTTTTACACACAGATTTTGCCTCCTACACAGGGGTGTGATGGTTATGGACCTTGAGTTGCTGACGGAACCAAGGGCCAGACTGTCCGTATTGCTGCTCATCTTTGTCTATGCAGTCACTTATACATGCTCTTCCCATGTGGGAGTAAGGGTAGGAAGAGAAAGGAAGTATATTTCCAAATGTGCATTAATTCAAAGTAATGAAGCAATGAATAAAAGGAAATAAATACATACCACTGGGCTTTGGACTGATTTCTGGGCCTGTCCATTTAAAAGCTGGTTTTCGGCCTCTTTCCTCTGTAACATGAACTTTCTTGATAAGATCCAGGCTACTCAGAACATTAGCTATATCATACAACCTCCTAATTTTTGCTGGGGGAAAAAAGTATATATATCACTTAATGGAATAATGAAAGATCAAAGGACTTTGCTTCCTAAGGGCTTCACGTGTACGGTGTACACTCAAAGAGCTATCCTAACCATCAATGTCAGAGAAAAATGTGACTTTTCTTGAGTTATTATAGCGATACTGCCTTAATTAAAACAAAAAAAGTTTTAAATATTGAGAGTCAATTACTGCTGATACTGGATTTTGAAACAAAAGCACATGTTGAAAAAGGAAAAATGACTCAATGAGATCACCCTATTGGGAAACATGTTACAGATTTTCTAATAAAAAGTTACCACTGCTGGGCATCTCCTAATGAGGATTCAGAATTTTAGGAATAGAAATAATCAATGATAAATGTATTATTTTCCTGCTTGTGATAATTTGTGAAAATAAATGTATTTCACAAGCATGGAAAATTTTTATACCTATCAAAATTTATAAACATTTATACTGTCCATATATATATATACACACAAAGCATAGATTTGCTAATTCTATAAGTCTTACATATCATGAAAAGCTCTGCTACAGAAGTCTGCCTTTACTTTAGCTTATAGTACAAAGCTGCAGATTGAGCCCCGCCTTCACAGCCTTGCAAGAAGGTTTTGAATTCCCTAGGGATTCAGCAAATTACACATGTGTAGTTCCTGGAATAGTTTCCAAGGCTGTGACTAACCAGTGAAATAAAGAGCTGAAAACTGGTGACTCAGAGAAAGCAGGCAGCCCATCGGTAGGATTGGGATGTGTTTTCTGAAATGACAAATCTCCTAAGCCAAATGCTAGCCTTACTGCCTTAATCTCTACTCATTTTGTCTTTATGGAGACACCATCAAACTGGAGGTGTCTCAATACTTTCATGGGACCAGTACAGCTTCACAGGGATGGGAAGGGGTCTGCATGACACCTCCCAGGCATCCCCTCAGCCTCTGCTATGCCTCGGGGTCACCAGTCAGCCGGTCCCCCGAGTGATCCATGTCCAGGCCAGCCTAATGCCCTGCTCGGAGGTCAGCTAATGCCTTCTATACCTTCTCTCTGCTCCTCTGCGTGTATGCGTGGGGCAGGTCCTGCAAAGTCTTTTCTAGAGGCAAGGGCAGAGCTGTTTTAAGACTCCAATCTATGATTTCTTCCCAACAGAGAGCAGATAATCTGGCTAAAATCATGCTTTTTTTTTTTTTCCATAGTGAAATCAAGTAGTTTTATTTAAGAATTGGAAATAATCAGTAGCCGTGAAAGAAAATCCAATATTTAAATAAACATTTCTGCATGTGAAAAGAAGAGCAGTTACTGTTAGGTAACTCCTTGCTTAACGATGGGGCAAGCAAGCCCTTGGGATCGCTCCTGATGGCGGTCGTCTGCACACAGGACAGAGTGTCAGGCTCTGGTTTCAGGCAGAGAGCAAGCCTTGCCTACCATGCTAGACAGGCTGGGTTGCCTGGGCCAGCCAAGTCACTATGGATGCAAACTGTCTAAGGTAGTAAGTGCAGAGCGGGGACACCGTAAAACCACTCTTTCAAAATGTCCAATCCACTGTGCTGCGGGTCACTTCTGGAGACAGTGTTAGAAGTTATTTACACCCTCAAATATGAGAGTCAGTGGAGAGAACAGAGACTTGGATTCCAGTCCCACTTTACTGCTTATTTAGACTTCAGACGCTGTAAAATGGAGGCAGTGTTACAGTATCAAATGAGGTAGATAAATCAAAGTGTCAGGTAAGAGTAGCTATATACATATCTTTGATTCCTACAAGCTAGCTCAAGCAGTATCTTCATGAATTCTGGGGAGAAGTGAAGATATAAAAGCCTAACTAGAGATGATCTGTTTACATAGCCCATGTATTTGAAAGTAATTTAAGAGTAGGTCCAAAAGTCCACGGCAGTTGGGCCACTTACTTTTAAACTTGCTTTTATCCAAATCTTCCACATGGTCCTCCCCAATTAAAATCTTGGCAGCAATTTCCAAGCTTACTATCTGAGGCGTTGACACCAAAAACAGCATCACAAATTTTTGGCTCATCACTCTTAAAGACTTGTCTTTGCGGCTGTTTACAGAGGCTTTGGAAAAGGAAGAGGATTAGAGAATTAAAATTCATGAAGGGACAAGTGCTTTCTAAAGTAACAAAGCTAAAAATACCGCAACCTGATGCCACGGTTGACATGCAGCATTTTCATAGGAAAAGCAGCAGTAGCTTTGAGCTGGGTTCCTTAGGGAACCTGGTCTCTAGAGCTCCAAGAGGTTCCCTGCCACCTGAGCCTTTCAATACCAGCTCTCTCACCTGCCCGAAATTCCACTCCAGGGAGTTCGACAAAACACATGTCTGGGTGTCCATTTTGGCCACTGTTTGCTTTGATGATGGGATCCTCTATACTGTAACTCTTACTAAAGTCAAACTCTTGTTCATATTCTTTCTTTTTGATCATCATAATCTGCTCGGCGTACTTGTTCTCCTCCCCGACGCTTTTCAAAGTCCCAAGGGTCTGGTTGAGGTTGTGTCGCCCGTGCCAAGTGTACCTGTTTTTGGCGAGCCGGCTCACCATGTGTAGACTCTCTAGGACGTTGACAATATCATAAATGCGTCGGCGCTCAACATCTGCGGAGAACAAGCAATGGCATCTTACTAGAATCAGATATTGTAACATGGATAGAATCGAATACCTTTGTTTTCCCCAGGGATTCTTAGTCCATAGGTTCTGGATTAAATAACTTTAGTGGCTCAGATGGTAAAGAACCTGCCTGTAATGTGGGAGACCTGGGTTCGATCTCTGGGTTGGGAAGATCCCCTGGAGGAGAGCATGGCAACCCACTCCAGTATTCTTGCCTGGAGAATTCCCATGGACCGAGGAGCCTGGTGGGCTACAGTCCACGGGGTCAAAAAGAGTCAAATACAACTGAGTGTCTGAGCACAGCACATGCTAAAGAGTATGAAGATGAGAAATGCATGCCCCTGTTCTCAAAGGGTACAAACAGTTAATATAAATTAGAAAGGTGATGTTTATTGAGGGTCTTTGATGCATCATACAGGTTTAGGAAGATTTTACCCTAACTTGTGAGGTAAGTGATTATTATCCATGCTTTTTATTTCTTTAACAATAGTCTTTACTTTTACACAGAGCAGTACAAAATGACGCAGTTCCTCAAAGGGTGACTTGGAGCTAGAAAATCCATCCTGAGTGTGAAAGTTACTTAGTTGCTAAGTGGTGTCCAACTCTTTGTGACCCCATAGACTGTAGCCCACCAGGCTCCTCTGTCCATGGGATTTCCCAGGCAAGAACACTGGAGTGGGTTGCCATTTTGAAACTTCTTATTATCCATGCTTTAATGATGAGGCTGGCTAAGCTGCTCACAGAGCAGCTAAGAGCACAGAGCTAGTAAGTGGCAAAATCAAGTCTTTAGAGCTCTAAATTCCACCCTCTACACTCCATTTCTTATATTAGTTCCCAACACACACACACAAACATGGCTGTCACATGATTGGTACGAGGTGCTGCGATTCCTTGGTTCCTGGAACTTGCCAGAGGGCCTTTGTATGCTAGGCTGTTCCTTCCAGCTGGAATCCCTCTCCCAGATGTCCTCATGGCTCCCCACTTCTATTCTTGAGTCCTTGCTCAGATGTCACCCTCCTAACAAGGCCTGACCCAACTACTTAATTTAAAATGAAGTTTAAAGTTACGGAGCATGCTCTGAGCACTCTGGATTTCCATCTACCCTGGTCTGCATTTGCTTTTCTTTAGCACACATTACCTTCTTACATCCTAATTACCCACTTATTATGTCCTTTGCATATTGTCTATTGTCTCCACTGGAAAGCAGGTTCCACAGGAGCAGGAACTTTGTTCTTTCTGTCCACTGATGTTATCCCAGCTGCTACGACATTGCCTGCCATAGTAGGTAATCCATAGATACCTGCTAAATTAAATGGTACGCCCTCCATAGCTATAATGAAGTGTATGTGAAGAGGAATCTAAATGGCATTTCTTAAAGTTGATACATATAAACATGTATTTGAAAGGCAAAACTTTCTTCATGGGGTGATAGCTATATACTAAAATATCCTGTATATCTCTTTACAGATTCAGGTCGTAGTATTTTCATGCCTCCAAAGGTATCCCACATTTGCCACGGATTCCTTTTTTGGCTCTAACTAGATTTGAGTCCATGAAGAGAGGAGGAAAAGAGGGCAGGGGGATACAGTAACTTTTGGCTAACAAAACATTCAGAAAGTGCTGAATAGCAGAGAGGGCTAAAGCCTGGCTCCCATGCCCAGAGGCTGATCCTCATGTCAGCTGTGAAGAAAGCATTTGGCAGCCTGGCTCCTCAAGGAGAAACAAGATGCAAGTTCAGAGTTGTAGCTTTTTGTGAAATAAGTCATAACACAATGTTGCCTTACTTTAAAGCTTCAGAGCTTTCACAGTGCAGTCAGAGCAATCTCCATTGTGATTTTCTACTGTTTTAAGACTTAAATGTGACTGGGAACTACATTATTATTATTCTGAAATTAATAGGGTTTGACAAATGGATAATTTCCGTGTGGCCTTGTGTCATTACAAACACTGGCTAGAAGGAGCGTGGGTCTGAAGGACTCAGTCTGTGAGGTGCCTTTAATGACTGACCATTTCAGCAAGCTCTTTGCATACTTACTAAGTTCTTCGGCTACTTCGTCAAGACAGATGTCATTATTCACAGCAGGGTTGGGATAGTTAGGGTATCGAGCTAAAAACTTATGACACAACAATCCTAAACTTTTCTCTTTTCGACTGGGTTGGGATTTCTCATATTCATCTCCAGAGAAGTGTTCCTACAAAGAAAGATGTAAATAAAGTCTTATTGAGAAAGATTTATTGGAGGCATTAGTGCTCAATGACTAACACACGCATATATATATAGTTTGCTTCAGTGGCTGCAAAATTGGGAAGGTAAGTGGGGAGAAGTCAGGATAAACTGCTTGAAGGATCTGAAAGGGAAGAAGCTCATAAATAAGTGACAGATTCAGATTTCCCAGAGCTGTATTTGATGGGGTCCAAACCTTTCCAGTGCTCCGACTGGGATAGAGCTTTATATTGCCAGTTGCCTCCTCAACAGCCACCCCCCTTCCTAGCTCCCCAAATCCCCCAGTTTCCACCCAGTCCTCTGCAAACCAACCTACATGTAAACAATCTTTGACCTCAGGTAATCCGTTTCTGTTGTCAAACAAACCCCTTTTCTGATCCCTGTTGCGGATCTCGGGGCTCACGGCACTGATGAGCATTTTGAGGTTGGCTGTTGGTGTCCACGGCTCCCCCTGGGAGATCTCCTGGGGCTTGGTGGGTGTGGTTAAAGGGCCAAAGTCAGGCTGGATCTCTGCCAACACTATATTTGCTGCCGTGGATTCTTTCAGAGGTGTTTTCATCAGTCCCCTTTTATGTGGCTCGAAAAAGAGATTTTCCTGGTTCAAAACAAGTCAATTATTAAATCTAGTATAAAAAAAGATTTATCAGATAGCTTTTGACTCTAAGAATTGTATAAATAGAAATAGTACTTAGGAAACATGCTCAGTGAGGTTGTAAGAGATGATTAAATTAGTGACTATATTCCAATGATCACTTTGACATTTCTCCATAACAGCTAAATTCCCCATTTTTAATTCTACAACAATGCATGGATTTAAAATTTTCATCTTATGTTCCAAGAATTTAAAAAGAAATCTTTAAGACTTACAATTTTAAAATTTTTATTTTGAAATAATTTTAGATTTAGAGTTGCAAAGATCCTCCAGAGAGTTCCCATATATCTTTTACTTAACTCCCCTTAATAGGACTGATAATTTTAAGTGACCCCAAACTCCTTGGAGTGACTTGACTCATGACACTGTAATAAGTAAAGGTCTCCATGGCAGAAACCATATGCCACTCACTTAAGTATACACCTAGTACAACAGTTGCAAGCAGTGGGTACTCAGTAAAATACCACTGATGAAAAAAAGTCAGAGAGCCAAGGAAACAGGGTGAGGGCTAGCATGTGGTCAGACTTGTTAGCAAAATCCACTAGGGAGCAGAAAATTCTGCTCTTTGAATATTTACCCTTTTCACTTTACAGATGGAGAAAATGGAGCCCAGAGAAGTAAAATTAGTTAACCGAAGACCACAAAGCTGGTTCCTGGCAGAGGCTGGGCTGCCATTGAGACGTAAGAGGGTAAATTAACAGCAGTTCATACCTAAGACTGCTGCTAAGTCGCTTCAGTTGTGTCTGACTCTTAGTGACCCCATGGACTGTAGCCTACCAGGCTCCTCCATCCATGGGATTTTCCAGGCAAGAGTACTGGAGTGGGCTGCCATTGCCTTCTCCATATACCTTAAAGACTATTTCTTCTACTTTTGGCCACTGGCGACTTCACACATTCTCACCATCTGTATCTATTTTAAAGAAAATGCTTGGGATGGCAGGTAAGTGCACCGAGATGGTACACTTGAGAGGTTCTGATCCAAGAATGGGATGTTTCTCAGGGCTGCTGTCCTTTGCCTCTGACCGTCAGAAGCAACACCAGTTCTCTTATTTGTTTACGTCTAAAATTTTTAGGAAATTTGCATATTTCATTTTTTAACCCTATCAGTATTTAGACATCAATCATGATATCCCCAGTGAAAGTGGCCCCTATAGTTAAAAGAAACTGGAAATTTGGTAGAAAATTATCTTAACAAGAGAGCTAATGTCAAATCATGTCAAATGCCCTTTCTGAATTCTTATAGTTTAAGAATTCTCAGAAATATCATAAAGCAGCTAACAAATTTTATAATTCTTAAAAATATCTTTTCTCTTATCTCTTTGAAACTTCCACCAAATCACTAAAAACTAGAAAGATTAATCTTGGGTAACTTTTTCCCTCTTCAAAAATTAAGTTTCCCTTCCTTCCAGGTTTTTATAGGGGTTAACCAAAAAAGAATGTAGCATTAGTAAGATGTTGGATACTGAAAGATTATTCATTAAAATCAGGATAATGTTGCATTTAAAACTACAAGGATGAATACTGAAGCTAAAAAAGTACCTTTTCGTTCTCCATTCTGTAAATTTCTCATACATTTAGTTTCTTTAAAAATGAAAAATCTGGAGTTCTTTATCCTGATGGTTCAAGTAGTTCAGGTAGTCCAGTTAAGAAGTTTAATATCCTTAAAGAAAAAAAGAAAATAGAAAAAGTTAAAGAAAAATGCAGGAGATCTGTTGAAAATACCTTGACGGGACGCCACAGTCTGCTGAAACAAAGGCTAAGGTAAAGAACACTGACAAACTACACTTAACATTTTATTCCCGACCGGAGATAGCCCCACAGGGCAGAGGACGCCCATCAAACGCCCGTAAATTACTTCAGCAAGCCGATCTGCCGTCAGTAAGACTTCAAGCAACCCACAGAAATTCCAGTGACAGCCCTTGTCCACCTTAAGAGAGGGCAATGCATTCTCCGGCCCCCACCGGATGGACTCCAGCGAGCACAAGCACCCACCTGTTCACAGATCAGAGTTCCGGACTCCAGCGCATGAGCCCAAGTTCCGGCTAAGGAGCTACAACCCCAAGTATCTGGATAAAAGTCTACATCTAGATGCTTGAATTTCTCCTTTGACACACACGTGCATGGGATCAGCAACAAAGTCTTGGGGGAAAAGCTTGATAGGTAACTTCCAAATTCAGTCCTTAAGCTCCTGGGCATTTAAAGAGCGCCTTCCGATTAAAACTTTTTTAAGACTTCCGTAAAGATGCGACTTAAAAAATGTACTTGCTATTCAGGTGGCCAGTTCACGCCACAATCCTGGACCCTACCATGGAAGGCTGCATTTGCTCAGCAAGGCAACCAGGTACAGTAGCCACCGGCTCCCGCGCCCGGCGCGCTTCCCCTAGCTCCAGGCCAACTCCCCTCCCCCCTGGGCCCAGTACGCGCGCCGCCAGTCAGGCAGTTCCCGGACAGCATCTTCGCGGTTTCTAGGGCAACGACTCCCAACCAATCAGAGCGCCGGCTGCAGGCCTGCGATTGGCTGGCGGCGCCAGGGGCGGGTCTGGACCTTCCGCCTTCGATTTAAAAATTTGGCGCGGAAAGTCATCCCGTGGTCGGCACCGCCCCTTGAGCTGCGCGGGGCTTGAGCGCGGGCAAACCCGCGCCCGGAACCAAGGCGTCCCCGCCCCTCCCCCTCGCTCGCCCCCTCCCCTCTGCGCGGGATCTCGGCTCCTCCCTCCACGGCCCCCGGCGGAGCGAGAGGCGGGAAACGGCCGCCGCTGCCGCTGCCTTCCCGATCCCTCTCCCGGTGCCAGTCTGGCTCGGCGCCGCGCCCCTCTGCTCCCCGCTGACCTGTCAGTTCACCTTACACTTGGAGCCGATGGGGGCTGAGCGGGGACGCCTCTGCACCCCTTCCCCGCTCAGGCCCGGGAGCCCGCGTGTCGGGCCGTCAGTCGGTCCTTAAACGCCGCGCTGAGGTGGGTGCCCGAGGGAAACGCCGGGACCGGGACTGGCGGGCGGGCAGAGTGGACGTGACCGTCCAGGAGCAGTCAAGCCCCCGATTTGAAATTAACCCGCTCCCGGCGCGAGCCGATCCCGCGGGCGGGGAGGGCCGCTCCCCTCCCCCACGCCCGCTCTTCCCGGCCCCGGACCACGCGCGCCAATCCGAGTCTCCAGACCAGAGCCGGCGGCGAATCAGGGTGCAGGCACCGCCCTCCGGTGCCGCCTCCACGGCAGAGTTGGGGGAAAAGTTCAGAAACTTTTTTTGGGGGGGGGGCAAACACCCCCTCCCCTTGCTCAAAGTTGGGAAATTAAGTTTAGTCAGCCGAGGACACGCGGGTTGAGACGCGGACGCTCCACAATCCCCATCCTGGGTCCGTCCCACGGCCTGCCCAGTCCCAGGTCCGCTCACCTGTGCTGGAGACCCCAGCCAGGACCATTTCCCCTTCCATCCATGGCATGCATTATTGTGCTGCCCACCATTTGCCCATGGCTTCTAAGAAACTGGGGCGTGGAGGGAGAAGCTTGGCTAACTGGTGCTCCCATTTGATGGGCGCGGGGTCTTGGCCCAAACGGGAGAACTCAGGTGTAGGAGGAGGAGGAGGAGTAAGATTGAAAACCCGCCAAGCCTGTTCCGGGCGTCCCCTGTCTTCCCTCTCCTGGTCTCCCACCGGCTCCTCCTTCCCTCCTCCCTGTCGTCTTCCCTCGCTTTCCTCTCTTTTTCCGGTTTCCAAGCCTCGGGCAGCTCCAGCATGGAATATTGTTGATTTCTAGATTAATAGGAGCTTTGGGAGACACTCTAGTCCAAAGCTCTGCTTTGCAGATGGGGAGGCTGAGACGCCGCGCGGCAGCGCTGCCCTTGGTTGCGCCTGGATTGTTTGCGCCCGCGTTGTCTTGCTTGGCTCTACTCGGCTTTCTAGCGCTTCCCTTTTCTGGGGACCTGTGCCGGAGTTGCGGGACCGCACGTATTGCCCAATAGCGCCCAGATCAAGGGGCCCATCTATCGACAGTTTGGTTTGAGCTCTTCCCCCTCTTTTGTAATCTCGCATCTTTTAAGCTCCAGCAAAGCCCGGGGCCGCGATCCCCTTGTCCTGTCTCGTCTTCATGTGTGTCAATGACTTGCAGCGCCAGATAGCTTTATATTCCGGGTCGCGATATAAGGGCGGGGATACTCTGGTACTGAGGCCAAGGTCGCCGTGCTGTAGCTGCAGGCTGTAGGGCCGGGGGAGCCCCGGTGGCGAACGGTGGCTCTTTCTCTTCGCTGAACGCAACCTCAGGGCGCGCAGGGTGGCTGCCCCGAAGAGTTAGCGTCGCGCTGGCTCGGTTCTTGCTCTCTGCTACCCGGCTTCAGGCGAGTGTCGCTCAAGAGCGCGCCGCCACCTGAAAACCGGCCTTAGGATATGTGCCGTGCAGAAACCAGCGGTCACCTAGAGCCCTCAGATTTAAAATAAAGTGCGGTCACCGGGCAGGGCCCCGCCCTAGACTGCAGAGAGCAAGTGTTTCTTACTGAGCCCCGTGCATCTTTTCTGGAGCAAGGTCTGTTTTCATATACATCAACAAAAGGTGGGCAGTTGGCGCTTCTGAGTTAGCCTTTGTTTCACAGATTCTTCCCCTTTCCTCACCAGCATTTATAGCAGTGCGTGGTGTCCCCCTCTGCCCAACCTACCTTAATTTTTTTTATTACTGCAAGCTGGGAATCCTTTTAAAAGCGACAGTCTGATGCCACTGTGTTCAGAACCGGTGACTGCCGTGCTCATGTCTGTGACTGCAGGGGCATTCCTTCTCCCAAGGTGTCTGAATGCCACAAATAATGCTTGGAGCAGCCACCTCTCACTAGGCTGCACAGATGGCATCACATTCAGTACTCAGCATAGTTGTTAACTGTGGGTTACCATCTGGAAAGTGAAATACCTCTTTTTTAAAAAAAATTTTAATTTTTTAATTGAAGTTTAGTTGATTTACAATGCTGTGTTAATTTCTGCTCTGCAGCAAAGTGACTCAGTTGTCCACGTACATACATTCTTCCTTATATTCTTTTTCCGTTGTGGTTTACCCCAGGATATTGAATATAGTTCCCTATGCTATCCAGTAGGACCTGTTGCTTATCCATTCTATATGTAATAGTTTGCCTCTACCAACCCCAAAGTAGAGCATTTTTAACTAACAAACCCCAGTCTTAAGGTAAGTGGCTGTTCTGGGATTTGAAGCCAAGTCTCTTTAACTCTTAAGGGCTTTCCACTGAAAGCCATGTTCTCCACTGTGCTTGGGTTGGTCCTTACTTGCTTCACAGGATAGTTATGCCTCATTTTATAGAGAAGAAAACTGAGGCACCAAAAGGTTTAAGTGATGACCAAGTTAGCTATAGAGTCAGGATTATAATCCAGGTCTATCTGCCCCCACTTCATATATCCCATTCCAATGCCTCAGAAAGCTCCTAAAAAAGCAATGTTGGTGACAGCTTAGACCACTCTTGTAACCACATAACCCTTCCTCTAACATAACAAAATATAGAAAAAATGGGGTCTGTAATCCTTGTTTGAATGACAGTTGTCTTACTGAAGCATGCCAAATGCAATCCAGCTCACTGACTAGGATAGAAAGTGAGAAAAGTGAAAGTCGCTCAATCGTGTCCAACTCTTTGAGACCCCATTGACTATACAGTCCATGGAATTCTCCAGGCCAGAATTCTGGAGTGGGTAGCCTTTCCCTTCTCCAGGGGACCTTCCCAATCCAGGGATCAAACCCAGGCCTCCCACATTGCAGGCAGATTCTTTACCAGCTGAGTCACAAGGGAAGCCCAAGAATACGGGTGTGGGTAGCCTATCCCTTCTCCAGGGGATCTTCCCGACCCAGGAATTGAACTAGGGTCTTCTGTATTGCAGGAGGATTCTTTATCAACTGAGCCATCAGGGAAGCCGACTAGGATGGAAAGTGACCAATGATGTAGTTTTAAAGTTTTAGTAACTCCTTTATGGGTTGAAAGGGAATGAAGAAAGAAACCAAGCTGAAACAATTCTACTCAACACTGTATCATGTGTCTGATTTGAAATTCAGCCTGAATGGAAAGGAAAGATACAAGACTGTTGAAAACTGATGTTTACTGCACAACCATGAAGAAAGGTTGAAGGGACAGATTTGAAATGTTTTTCTTGTGTTACCATCAGTTGTGTTTTCCAGTTATGTAGTCCAAGGGACTATTTGTGCATTTGTTTCTGGTCTTTTGTTTACCATGTTGTGTAATCTGTGTCTCGCTGAACAAGGCCTGACTTTCGATTTTCTGCTGCCACCATTATGCTAGTATAACTTGGAGGGTGAGATGTTATGTAACACATTCAGCATTAAACAATGTAAAAAAGAGATCTGCAGTAAGGGGGAAAGCTGGAGGTCACCTGACGTGTCTAGATTCAAAAGTAACATTGGGGATTTGGAATCATATCCCTTTTCATTATCACCAGAGCCTCACACAGAGTGTGAAAAGAACAAGCTCTTCCCTGTTCACTGGGGCAGGCTAAGGGGCTAAGGAAAAGGTTGCTCTAGCCAGTGGGATCCTAGGACTTCCCCCTTGCTCTCTCACTGCC